CCGGCCTGGCGTAGTTTGATTATGTTTCAGTGGGGGGTTTTTTACGGGTGTGTTTTTAGAACAGGCCTGTTATTTAATTCGATTTTAAAACAAACTATTTATTTATTATTGTGGTTTTTAGTATCGCCTGTTCACCGCCCTGAGTCCCGCAAGGGAGATAGGGCGGTATATAAATTTAATAAATAAATAAATAAATAAATAATGCTTGAGAGACTAGCTGGAACAGCATTTTTTCTATGAAGAAGTTTGTTCCAATAAAATATGTAATATATTTTTCAAGTTTTGTTTCACTGAAAACAGAATAGCTTTTCAATTTTCTTTATACAATAATGTGACTTCTTTTGTCAATTGCTTAAGGCACTTGTTTTTAACTAAGCTCCTGGCTTCTTTTGGTGTATTTTCTGATGATTGCTTCAAATTATAGCATATATTTAGCTTTTTTATATTTTAATTTTTGTTTTAGTTCGTAACTCTTCAATTTTTAAATAAAAATCACATGCAAATTATCTCAGGAATCTTCAGCTCACAGCCCTCATAACACATTATATTTCCAAAATCACAAGCCCCAAAATATGTGCTATGAATACTAAAGTTTCAGATTTTAAGAGTGAATTATATTCAGAAGTGCACTTGGCAGATAATACAGTAAAGACAAAATAAGTAATTTTGGTTTCATTTATAGATCATCTAGTCATTAAATTTATCAGGTAAAGTTTGATAGAGTGTTTTAACAAATGAATTATGGGATTGTTAAGTAGACGCACATGTAATATCAGGAGAGGCAAGGGGCATAGCTGCCCAACTCTGGAGCTTTCTGCAGCATGGCATAGAGTGTGTTCTCTATGTTCTCTAACTTCATCCCTAAGTAATCCAGCTGCATCTTGAGATAGCCATTTTCAGAGCAGCCACAATTCCAAGAGTCTGGAGTTCTGGAAATCTCTGAGATCACTCACTACAGGTGATCAGGGATGGAGAGGAGGGTGTGGGGCCAAGTGTGGTGGGAAGCAAGCTCAAAGCCTGACTTGTGCCTAACTTTTGAACAATACTAATAAGAATTGTCAAGAGTCGGCCATGACTGAATGGATACCATCATCATCATCATCATCATCATCATCATCATCATCATCTTCTTCTTCTTCTTCTTCTTCTTCTTCTTCTTCTTCTTCTTCTTCTTCTTCTTCTTCTTCTTCTTCTTCTTCTTCTTCTTCTTCTTCTTCTTCTTCTTTTTCTTTTTCTTCATCATCATCAAGTATATGGAGATAAATGTCACTTTATTCTGTTTTCTTTTAATATACTTCTAGGTTGGATTTTTGGCTTTATGTCTTAGTTTTAGACAAATAATATTCTGGGGTTTTTTTGGTCCTTGAGAGTTAGTGGTAACAATAGCAACAATTATATTCTTTTGGGTTGTGTTTTGGGTTTGGTCCTCCTATTTTGCTTTTAACAGTTTGGAACTGTTTTGTTCTATACTGATCTTTCAACAAAATAAACTTTGGCTAACGAACTACAATATCATGGTTAGGTACTAATGCTAGCATTATGGTTACCTGTTAGCAATGGCAAGGTAAAATGGCAGAAAGTAACTGTTTCACAGTATTTTATATAACTTTTCAGAATTTCAGTGTGTGTGTGTGTGTAGCATAACATATTTGCCATTTTCAATTCATTAGAGCCTTCTCTGTCAATATATGAAATGGCTCTGTGTTGCAGCACTTAGAACTACATCTTATGCACCCTCAAATCAATTTGACTTTATATACCTACCCTATCTTGAACATATATGCTAAGGATTGGCTCTGGGGTAGATTTAAGCTTAGGAATAGATATGTAAAGGTTTTAGGAGGCAAATCCTCATCTCCATCTCCACTCAAAGCATAACATGACCCCAAAATCATACTGATGAAATTCAGTAACAAAAATGATCAAATTTAGCAGTAATTTCCAGCTGATTGGAAGGGGATGAGGTATTGTAATTAAGAATTAAAAAGGACTGATATGTTTGAAAAGTTTACCAATCTTATACGTAACAAGAAATAGCAAATTAGGATGAATTACAATTTAATTAGCATTCTTACACTTCAATGTTTTCCATAGCAACATGGCTAAAACAAAAATATGTTCACAATAAATTATCATCTTTAGTATTGTCTACATTATATTCCAAATCCACTCAGTTTTGCCACAACCCTTTTCTTAAGTAAATGATTTCAAACTAAGAACTTCAGAGACAATAAAAAACAATAAATTACAACAGCCCCCAAAGCATTACATGACTATTTTATGGCATATTTCAATAACAGAAAGCAGCACTTCCAAGATAATTTTCAAAAAGTAGCATATATACCAGATGAATAGCATGACCAGAGTACGTCCCAAAAGGATCTTATATCGGAACAGATCCATAATACTACAAGACTGCTTACAGATCCATGCAGTTGGAAGTTTAAGTGAAAAAGTGCACTTGGGCTTGTAGTTTCTCTTTGCAATGAGGTAGAGAGAATCTTCAGCTTCATGGAGTCGACCTTGTGAATATAACCAACGAGGTGATTCAGGAATGAATCTAGAAGAAAATAATCATTCATTAAGAGCATTAGGGATATTTTACTAGTAAAAACTTCATGCTGGTGCACATATTATGCATGTTATGGTTCCGATAGATGAAACCATTTAAAAGAACTTCAAGGCAAAGATTTTTTCCTTAAAGATACATTTTATTTAGGAAACAATGTATTGGCACTTACATAGGTAAACCCAAGACTGAAATCCCCTCCCTCAGGCTACAAAGTAGCAAGTTGCAATTCCCACCCCAAATTGCTGTCATAAATCACATTCACCAATTATTTCAAAACACCGGCTCTCCTCCCAGCGTTTCAGCCTGCCAAAACTCTTATCAGGACTGACCTTGATTTTCACACATAAGTATTGTTATGGCTAACTGAGAAACTTAACATCCCCCCTCCTTCATTTAAAATCTCTACACTAAACTGTGGCAACAAAGATAAAATGAAAAATGGGTTCAGTTCAATTTGTCCCACCGTTGACAATGCACATATATTAAGCTAAAAATAAACATGATCTTATGAATAAATAAGAACAAGTTTGCAAATATGTAGCACTTGAACTCCAACATGCAACTGTTTTAAAACATTTAAAGAAATATGTTTAACATGCAAATCCAAATTTTGAAAATTTCAGGCAATATGAAAGCAAGAAGACAGAAAAATTGAATATTGTCACAGCTTGCTGAAATATAATCAAAACCATGGATGTAGCACAATTAATCTTCAGGGGAGTATTCAGATCTGCCTGATGGGAGATCAGTTTTATTAGTAGCTCTATTAATAGTTGTAAATTTTAGTTGTTCAATTTTATGAATATTTTACAGAAAAATTATTTTGTTCACTGTAAGCCATCTATAATTGTGAGAAAGAGCGGCATACAAATGTTGATGCCCAGTTCAAAAAACATATTTCAACAATATAGATAGAAATGGTTGTTCATAAATTTAACTATTCTTAATCAGAACTGTCCTTTTTTCTTTATTTCATTCTCATATCTAAGCAATTTGAAGTTCAGACAGATTAAACAACAAGTATATGGAATACAATTTTCTTTTTTTCAAATATTCTCCCAATAAAGTTTCCATTCTGATACCAGGGGCTTTTATAAATTTAAACTTGGAATAAGAAGAAATTAATTTCTTCTGAATGCAAATTGCTTAAGTAAACTACTAGTTTTAATTCAAATGTTTACATTTTATCCTTTCATTACTTTAAGCGTGAAAGAGGGATGTGGGCTGATGCTTTCAAACAAGCATAAGTTTTTCTTTGGACTGAGCTTTGAAAAACAAACAAACAAACAGAACAAATACTTTGAGGTTTTCAGAGTAATTTAGCGTAGTGAGAAAAAGTTAAACTCAGCTTTTGGTGACTGCACTGACACATCCATGAAATTTTCTTGGCAGCAATATACAAGCAGTTCACTACAGCCTTTTTCTGGGAAGTTATTTTCCTTCAACTTCCAAAGCTGTCTTAGATTCAGGTATTTCCAGTCTCCCATCCAAGTACTAAACAGGCTTGAACCTGTTTAGAATCTTTGGGGGGAGGCAACACACAAACAGAGACTAACACATACGCCTTCCTTCAGTTATTGCAGGAAGTATTTGAGATGTATTTGTGTGTGTGCATATGCTTCCAAAGGAAGCCTTTCTCCTTCCCTTCTTTAAAGTCCTCCCCCCACTTAAGATTTTGGTGAATTTTTATCTTTCTTTTGAAATCCCAGGCAACCGCAGATAGGTAAGACCTGGAGTGGGGGACAGGCAAAGGCTGGGATGAGCACTGCCACAGTAGGAAAGCCACTTGCTGGGAGACAAGGTTGCTGTTTAATTGCGGTTGCTCAGAAAATTGCATCCGCTTCTGGGACAAAGCCAAGTGGCCCAGGGATATTGGAGGGTGGGGTGGGATGATCAGTAGCAGAGATGGGTTGGAAGCAAGCACGAGGCCTGTGTGGGATAGAGGGGAGAGTGGAGAGGTGGCACTGCAGAAACCCTGTGGTTGGTGATAAGGGCAAATGACTGTGGGGGTGCTTCAGCTTCCACAACTTTGAAACGGGATATGAAACTAACTCGCATGAACCAAACTGGATATATATATATATATAAAAAAGAGTAGGTTCAACGCAAGAAGCTGTGAAGACAGGCTCGCCCTAGTCAGTGTCAAAAGTAGCAGTGTTGCAAATGGTACAGATAATCACCTCTTGACTCTTGTTTCTAGATTCAAGACAGTACAGTTTAGGTATAACAGTGGAAACTACTTAAAAGGAGAATATTAAGTCAAAGAAATTTAGAAGATAAATACCAAGAGAAGAGCCAAAATTATTTTCAAGTATAGAGAAATTAGGATGGAAGAAGCTGAAAGGAAGACAAACAGCTATTTTTTTTATTCAGTGACAAATGCTATTCATATTTTAGCAAAATAATGTAGGTATATAACTTACAGACAAAGGAGAAAGACTAGAGCTCCCTCCAAGTTAACCACCACTGCTAATAATCTCCAGGAGCGAATAAGATATCCTAACAAAGCATATTGTGCAATTCCCACAGCAAAGAAGAGGCAACCGAGTGATCCTATTATAATGCAGATAGGGAAAAAGTGTTATTGATAATTTTGTAGTGACTTCTAAAGTGATGATTTAATACACAGGCAGAGAAGACTATGTGAACAAATATGCAGAGATAAAGAACATTCAAAACTCTGAAAAATGGTAGATGCCATCCAAAAAGGCTGTTATAACTTATAGGCATATTTCAACATTCAAAATGCTTGTCATAGACACTAACATATTGTCGGGGGGGGGGGATTATTCACTATAATATGAACCAAAGCAGTTGAGATTTAATACAAAGTTTCTTTCTTAAAATCCCAAACTAGTGAACACTGGGCTTCTAGCCAACTAGACCAAGACTGTAAACTGGATTATAGGAGATAGCAAAGATGCATCAACAGTAGGCTACTGTACTGAGCAGGAGGTTGGACTAGACATTTGCATAGGCTTTTATATTAGCAATAATCACCCAAATCCAGTATTTGTGATTAGCACCTTCATCTTCCTTTCACCCTGATCTACATTCCTTCACTATGATAAAAATAACCCTTTTTCACTTCCTGTCCCGATATTTTTTCACTTTGTTATCTGGCTTCTGTTCCCTTTCTCAGGGTTACTTTAAGTTTAAAGGACAACCTGAAGGGCATCAAGAATGGTATCCTGAACGCCAACAATTCATAGCATCATAGGGCTGGAAGGGACCTCAGAGGTCTTCTAGTCCAGCCTCCTGCTCAGTGCAGTAGCCTTATACCATCCCAGCCAAACTACAATCCCAGGAGGCAAGCTATTCCACTCATGAATTGCTCTCATTGTCAGAAAATTTATCCTTACTTCTAGGTTGGATCTTTCTTGTCCTGTCTTTTGGTGCCCCAGAGAATAATTTAATCCCCTCTTCTTTGTGACAACCCTGCAAGTATTGGAAGACAGCTATCATGTCCCCCCGCACCAATCCTTCTCTTCAATAGACATACCTAGCTCCCTCAACTGTTTATCATACAATTTAGCCACCAGACCCTTTGTCATTTGTTGCTCTTCTCTGCACACTTTCCCAAGTGGCAACATTTTGTTTTGTATCATGGTGACCAGAACTGGATGCAGTATTTCAAGTGTAGTCCCACCAGTGCAGTGTAAAGTGATACTATCACTTCTCAATGTCTTGAAAGTATCCCTCTTTTGATGCAGCCTAGGATTGCATTGGCTTTTTTGGCACCTACAACACACTGCTAGCTCATACTTAAGTGGTTGTCTATTAGGACACCTAGATCCCTCTCACAGTCACTTATGTTGAGCCAGGTGCCGCCTATTTCAGACCTGGGATTTTTAACAGGGCCTATGATAATTCACCGCAGCCAACTTGTCACAGCTAACTCACCACGGACAACTCGCTGCGGCCAACTGACTGTAGGATAACTCACCATGGCCAACTCACCATGGGACAACTCGCTGCGGGACAAGAGTTACACCGATATCAAAGAAATGGTAGAATAGAATCATTAAAGAAAGGATGCAAAAGGAGGGACAGAATGAAATGTGAATGACAAAAATTTAAATAATTTTTTATTTAAATAGTTAAATTGAATTGTTGAATTGTCCCGTGGCGAGTTGTCCCACGGTGCGAGCTGGCCATGGTGAGTTGGCTGAAGTGAATTGGCCATGGCGAGTTGGCCGTGACAAGTTGGCTGTGGCAAGTTGTCCCATTCTGTTTTGTGTCTCCCGGGCCACATACAGCTCTTTGGCTGTCCCTGTCCAGACTGCATACTATAAGTCAATTGAAAATTAGAAATCAAATGTAAATAAGTATACACCATGCACACAATACAACTACATTGCTTTTATTTTGGAGACTATTTTTTTTTTCAATTTACGTATGTACATGACTGTGTGCGCCTACACACACATAGCCCTATTTGTTCAGCACTCCACAACAGTCCCAATTTCTCATGTAGCCTCTTGGGAAAATTAATTGGCTACCGCTGGCCTATTCTATACCTATGTATTTGGTTTTTCCTGCCTAAGTGCAGGACCTTACTTTTCTCACCACTGAAGGGGCGTTGGTCTTACCTGAACGCCATTTCTCAGCATGATGAAGGATAATCCACTTGATTGGGTTTCCTGAAGTCCCTTGTACCCAATAAGACTAAGTCTGAGATAGCCACGCCTCCTGCCTGGCCGCACATGCCCAGTTCCGATGGAGGCGAAGCAACAGACAAAGTCAGGCGTGTTGTTCTCCAGACCCCTATCACCGTGCCCATGAACCCAAGAAAGAAAAAAGGGGCGGGGGTGGATTATCCATCATCATGCTGAGAAATGGCGTTCAGGTAAGACCAACGCCCTTTCTCCAGCATGAGGGATGGATAATCCACTTGATTGGGACATACCAAAGCTCGCCTGTCCCTAGGGAGGGTTAACAGACGGGGCACGTGATGGAGGAGATGAAACTACTCACTGTAATACACGACGGCCAAAGGCAGCATCAGCAGAAGCAAAACTATCTATTTTATAATGACGGATAAATGGGGAAGGGGACGACCAAGTCGCCGCCCGACAGATGTCGCCAATAGGCGCCTGAGTAGCCCAGGCAGCAGAAGTAGCCGCGCTGCGAGTAGAGTGAGCTGTGATACGTGACGGCACAGCCAATGATTGTGATTGATATGCTCTAGCAATACAAGCCTTTATCCATCTAGCGATAGTGGTAGAAGAGACCTTGAGACCCATTGATGTCGGAGCGAATGAGACGAAGAGAGCCTCAGATCTACGGAAAGAAGATGTCCTCTTAATATAAACGCGAAGTGCTCTGCGAACATCTAAAGTGTGCCATCTGCGATCCAAGTCACTAGATGGGCGAGGACAAAAACTTGGCAACACCACTTCCTGAGACCGGTGAAACANGGGGCGGATGAAAGGCCAAACGGAAGTGCCCTGTATTGATAATGATAAGATCCGTAACAGAATCTGAGAAATCTGCGATGTGATTGAAAAATTGGAATGTGAAGATACGCCTCCTTGAGGTCTATGGACGTAAGGAGGTCGTTTTTCCTTATGCTGGCCAGAATAGATTGGAGTGTTTGCATTTTGAACTTTTTGTATACTAGATAAGAATTTAGGCGTTTTAGGTCCAGAATGGCCCTCCATCCTCCCGAGGCTTTTGGAACTATGAATAGGATTGAATAAAATCCCCTTCCCCGTTGATCGGGGGGGACAGGTTCTATTGCCTGTATTGTGAGAAGATGGGTAATGGCTTCTTTCATGAGAGCCCGTTTTGACGGGTTTGAAGGGGTTGGGCAAGAAATGAAGCGGTTTGCCGGTTTTGCCAAGAATTCTAAGGTTAGACCCTGAAGAACTGTAGACAAAACCCAGGTGTCTGTGGTAGTTTCCTCCCATGTTCGAGAGAACAGGGAGAGGCGACCTCCTATGGGGGGACCTTCCCCAGAGTCACTTATTCCTCCTATAGGGACGGCCCCCCGCACCTCGAAAGGGCCGCTTAGACTGTTGTTGTAATTGCCTGGGTTTGGTCCCAAAACGTTCCGCCTGTCGGTCCGATTTTGGGGTAAATGGGCGTGCTGGTTGAGACCAGGTAGAGCCCTGGTTGTTGCCCCTGAATCCCTGTCTTCGATAAAAGGGGGTAGGCTTTCTATCTGATCTCTTGCCTTGATGAGCCAATACCTTCTTTTTGTCCTTATTTTCTACTAGATATGGCTCCAGGGCGTCTCCAAATAGCTTTCCACCAGAATAAGGAGCGGTGGACAAACGACTCTTAGATTTTAAATCCGCCTTCCATTGCTTCAGCCAAAGTAAGCGCCTGGTTGAAATATTGGCTGCTATTGCTCTGGCTGAAAAACTGGCAGCATGCAATGTAGCATCTGCTGCGTACTCAATAGCCGCTAACGCTTTCCCCAAAGTTTGATGTGCACGAACTTGATCCTGAGGGATTAAATTTTGAAGCTCCTGGAGCCAAGTGACAGAGGAACGAGAGAAAAAGGAGGCAGAAGTAGAAGCCTTTATTGCCCACCCTGATGCCTGATGCGCCCTCCTGAGGGAGTATTCTGATTTTCTGTCCTCAGGTTTTAAGGCCTCCGCCATGTCCCCAGCAATCGTGGTATTGGAAAAGATTGGAGTGAGGGAAGTGTCAACAGAGGGAACCTCCAAGAGGTTAGTCAGGGATGGAGCTACACTGAACAACTTTTTGTCAGAGGACCCAGGAGCTGGAGAAATACCCAGATTAGTCCACTGCTTTTTTAGCGTATTGGTAAAAATGGGGGGACAGGGAATGTGTTTTTGAGTAATCCTGCGCTCAGCAAACACTGGATTAGAAACCTGACTGGTGGAAGGGGTGGGTTCTGGTTCAGGTTCTGGCTCTAGCTGGGATGAAGCCGAGGCTTTGGCCAAAATAGATTTAAACAGGGNAAAGGTAGCAAAGGAAAAATAGTGTTGAAAAGGACAGGTGACAACCAGTGAAAAAACGCCCCTGAGATTCAATCAGGGAGATTGTGTCCCTAAATCTCTCAGCCCAATACTGAAGATGGTTGTATCAAGTGAAAAGAACCAACAGACTGGAAAACCAGTATGAACTCCTTGCACAAAAACCTGAATCCCTTCAGCACAAGTCTGAGGGTGGGATAACCAGGTAGCAAAGGCTGGACGGAACCAAAGCAGCCCCCCTGCCAAGGAGAAAAAAACAGCCTCTATCCCTTCAGCACAAGACTGAAGGTGGGATTGATGAAGGCTGAAATATTAATCTGGTGATTAATCCAAAAACAAGGATTAGGCCTGAGACCCTTCAGAACAAAGTCTGAGGGTGGGTCAACAACAAACAGGCTAGGGACAAGGCCCAGATTTAAGGCCCACGTCCTAATGAAAGACAAGGTGATCAGTCTGAGAGAAAAGGAGTAAAATGCGTATTGCCAGAGGCAATGTCACATAGGTAAGGCTGGGAACCACAGGGGGAATTATTTCACTTGGTTCTGCCCTCCCCAAAAGACAAGGGGGGGGGAACTAAACCAGCCACCCACTTCACCAGATTTTTAAAATGATGCAAAATGGTGACCGCCAGTCACGTGGGGACCAATCTGCTGTCCCGCGCCGGCCCTGCAGTGCAGGCCACCATACAAAATGGCGGATGTCAGCCACGTGGAGAAAGCCCTGCAAAGTAGGCCTCAATTCAAAATGGCGGCCCCGGCCACGTGGCTGTGTGATGGGGCTGTAAAATCAAAAGCGAAAGAACACCGTACTGAGAGCTTTCCTAATTCTCTCAGAAGAGAAAAGAGGGCGATCTGCGCAGCCTAGGCTGTGGCGCAGTCCCACGCTCCCCTTAAAACGATCGCGCCCAAGCCTAAAATGTAAAAGGAAGCAACGCGATCGAAGAAAGCTCCCCCCCCAAAATCTAAGACGATCCGCGCCGCTTGGGGCCTTAGCGGAAGCTCCGCGCACCCCCAAGAACAGTCGCGCTGGAAAACCGCGCCAAAACGGCAGCAGCCAGAGATCAAAAGAACTCCGTCTGGCTGAATTTTGCAGGCCCGTAGCCTCCTTGGAGCCCTGCCAATCAACTGGGGCGAGCGGAGAAAGGACTCCACAACCCCCAGTTCCCAGACACCACAATAAGGTCTATCAGGCTCTGGGAAGGCAGTGGCCCACAAACCAACAAACCCCCCTTCAATCCCCTAGATAAGGGAAAAACAAACGGGGGAAAAAAGCAAATAAAGGATAGGAGGAAAGGATCAGAGGGCTGGGGGAGTAAACAAACTAAATTGAGGAATTGAGGGAAAGGTAGAAATATCCAAAATAGTTAAATAAAACCTGAGTCTGGAGAGCAGAGAAACAACACGCCTTGTCTGGGTAAGACTAAGTCGGAACTGGGCATGTGCGGCCAGGCAGGAGGCGTGGCTATCTCAGACTTAGTCTTATTGGGTACAAGGGACTTTAGGAAACCCAATCAAGTGGATTATCCATCCCTCATGCTGGAGAACTGCATCTTACTGGATGGGGCCCAATGTTCAAGTCTATCAAGGTCCTTTTGGATCTTGAGCCTATCTTCTAAAGTGTTGGCTATTCCCCCCAGCTTGGTATCACTCTCTTAATTCTATGCAATTACTGACACAGGAAACATGACTTAGAATAAAAATCAGACCTTAATTCAGAAAACCTATTTTTGCACCCCACAATAGACAAACTTAGAAAACAATTTGCCAGGAAAGTGACCATGATTCAAAAAGGAGGTGTGATTCCTAAAGCAGAACAGTTTTCCTTTGAATTACCTTTAGCTCCAATAGAATTTTCAATCCATAGAAGGTATGCCAGTCAAGTCAGTTTCAAATCTCTTTTTACTGTGTCAGTTAATTCAACCCAAATCTCTCATTTTGAGAGAGCTGTTTCATCCCCAACCCGTCTGTATACAGTATGCAAGCAACTTAGTCAGAAAACTTTTCTTCTTCAATCTCTCTGTATCTAAATTCCTCAAGGCTCCAACTCCATTCTTACCCACATTTTCAATCCCACCACTTTCCTGTCATGATCCTGACCTCCTGTTCCTTATCCATTCCTTACATGCTCTTGGCCCAATCCACTCTATTTTCTGTCTTTTCCATATCTGTTTTAACAGAGATAGAAACAAACAAGCACTGATCCTCTTTTTTCCCCTCACCAAGCAACAAAACACTTGTTATTCAATTTGAATTTTGGAATTTTGAAAATTCAAATTTTAAATTTTAAAAAATTACCAAAAATATTTGTACAGTACTGTTCCCCTTCCTGATAGTTGGGCCTTCAGTGCAGCTGGCTGCACTGAAGGCCCAACTATCAGGAAGGGGAACAGTACTGTACAAATATTTTTGGTAATTTTTTAAAATTTAAAATTTGAATTTTCAAAATTCCAAAATTCAAACAACCTATTATGTAGATATTAGTATCTTAATAGCAAATTATGTAAATTATAGTATCCACAAATATGTTGGCATAGAGGGCAACCAGAATGAACTAATTAAATAAGATAAACATATGATGCCTGACATGTTCTGAACATTCAAATCTCTCTTCAGAAGTAAGAATTAGAAGGGAACACATAGGATTTAAGATAAATCTATTAGAAAAGTAAACGTATATATTATAGGGTTTTTTTTTGCAGACTTCATGTAACATCATTAACATATTTTATTTTTATTAAAATATTTATTAAAATATTTTAATTTAAAATAGTCAAAGAACTACATTATAAAATATATTTAGGAGAAACATAAATGTAGTCATTTCTAAGTATTTATTACTGTATACTGGACAGTCACTTGTCTGAGATGGTATAGGTCAGGGGTAGGCAACCTTGGCTATGCTGGCTCAGGAATTCTGGGAGTTGAAGTCCATGAGTCATAAAAGAGCCAAGGTTGCCTACCCCTGGTATAGGTTCTCCTGCTTGAGTGGGGGGCTGGACTAGAAGATGTCCAAGGTCTCTTCCAGCTCTATTCTATTCTTCTATTCTTCTATTATATATTCTTAGTAGATACTCCAACTTCAGGACTATGTTTCAAAATGTTCTCAAGATAAAATTTTGCCACACTAAAATTAGACTGCCACATTAAGGGCAAAAAGGTGGACTTCTACATAACAAGAATTTTAAAAATGGAAAAAACAAAGAAGAAATTTCTCAAGAAATAAATAAAACACAATCTCAAAATAAATAAAATAAAACCCCTATCTGATTCTTCCAAATCCATTGCCATAAACATTTATTATGAACTGAGCTCATATGGGATCCTTCAAAAAAGCAGGGCTTAGGCTCCTAGAATTAAAATAGTAGGCGACAGGAGGAAGAAAGAAAATGCAAGACAATTAAGAAAAGAGCTGGAGCAGATAGCTTAAAGCAAAGATCAAAGGTTAAGATCAAAAAGAGAATAAAGACAGGTGTGAAACATGCAATAGGAACAGCAGTGGATACAAGTTAAGACAGAAGCAGAAACAAGTCCAAGAGATGGGAAGGATGCACATTCAGAGGATATAAAAACACAAAGATCCACAACCACAGAACTTTACTACATTTAGTTTAAACCAAATATGCCATCCCCAAATATCACTTTGGCAAATCTGCTATAGTGATGGGTAGAATTGTATTTATTACATGCAAATGTTACATGTGGTCCTTGTATAATGACTACAGGTTCAGTAATTGTTCAAATTTATGACAGCACTGAATAAGAGATAGCCCTCTGAGTTTTAGCAAACACAGCACGTCACAATTATGTGATTGCAATTTGCAATCTTCCCTACTGGCTTACCACAAGCAAAGCCAATAGGGAAGCTGGGATCACATGAAATCCTTGCTTAATGACCCACATGCACCTCACTTAATGACCATAACTAGAGCTGCCAAAATGGCTCTTACTAAATGGCACAATTAGGTGGACAATATACATCTCAGAGGGCATTACCATCTTGACATAGTGAGGGAGCTCTCTAATGAAAGTAATGGTGACAAAATATAAGCTTCTAGAAGGATCACCCTCATTGGCAAGAGGATAAAGGATTTGGGCAACAAGAACAATACAGCAAGACTCTGTAGACACAGAGTGTTCAGCAGGAAAGGAAATGGAAAGAGCTCTCAATCAAGAACTTCAAGAAATAGAGTAAAATATGGAAAATGAAATACATTTTTAAGATCAGAAAAATCAATGAAAAAACCTACAACTAAGGTATGAATATAAGATCACACATCTATAACAAAGGCAAATAGAAAGACTATATTGAAACCTTTTACAAGCAGGATTAAAGAATAATAAGACCATCTGAACAGAAAATCTATTCAGAAACAAACTCCACTAGATAGTAAGGGGACAAGTCAGCTATTTGTGGACTGAGAGAAGCCAAAGCTAATTATATCTCACCCAAGTCATTCCTGGGCCCAGCAATACAATACCAAACAATTTGCATCCAGTCTCCAACTTCCCTTTCTGGGGAAGGTTGCCAAGAAAGTGGTATATTTACAGCCCTAAGGTTTCTGGAGAAAGGGAATTATTGGGAACCACTGCAGTCAGATATCACATCAAGTTAAGAACTAAGATGGCATGGGACACCTTCATGGATAACCTCTGGAAGACCCTGAATGGGGCAATGTAACCATTCTGGGCATCCTGATACCTCAGTGGCTTTCAATAGCATTGACCATGGTAGTTGGATCAATTCAGGGGGCAGGGAGCAGGGGATCATGGTTCTCCAGTGGTTCTTTTTTTGGAGGTGGATTCCAGTCAGTGTAGGAGGAGGACAAAGTTCCAGTCACAGGCCTCTGCTTTGGAGAGTACCACAGGCTCAAACTATATCCCAGCTCTTATTTAATATTTATATGAAGGTTCTGGGTGAGGATATTCATCAGCACAGAATCAAACATCATGATTAAACATTATGAAATTAACATTATACATGCATAGACAAACTTTCTAATTTTTTAATATGTGAAGTAGCTTTTAAGTACTACTGAATTATCTTGAGTATTTGCTACAAGAGTAAATCTGAAAGATCTAACCATTAAATCTGTACCTGCCAATGCCCAAAAAGCAGTTCCCAAACATTCATTCAACAGGACAAAAGCAACCAGTGACATTCCACCATTCATTACTCCTACCAAGAAACGAGAGACTGCAAAAAACTCATACGTAGGAGAAAATCCATTAGCAACAGCAAATAGAATGTCAAGGCCAAAACCTAGAAGAGAAAGGGAAAAAAATCCTTTAGAATTATTTGATAGTGTTTAATGCTGGTTTTATTGGGTTTTTCCCCCAAAATCAAGCACACTTATAAAACAAAATTCTTTGGTATTTCATTAAAATGCACTGAGTTACTCAAAAATAGCAGGCACTATTTACTAATCTCAGTTCTGAATGAAAGTATATTGTTTCAGATTAACTTTTAAGAAAATTCACAAGACACATTTTGTGGAAAAAGAAGAAAAAACTTAAAGACCACATTTGATTAAAACTAAAAATGTTTGATGTTTGGAAGTCTTTTAAGTATCTTTTGACTGAACTATGAAGCCAAATATAATTATACAATCAATATTTATCTCCTGTCTTACAGAGGTAATCCTTAATTTACCACAATTGGGATTGTAATATCTGTTGCTAATGCAGTTGTAAAATGTGAAATCACGCGACCACATCACATAGCAACAGCAATCCCAGCACTCCTTGTTGTTGTTGTTAAACAAATTCTACTAGTTATTAGGTGAGGACTCACCCCAATCAAAGCCATCTCGGGCTAGGTTCCTCCCAGACAAAAGCCTTGGTTTTTCTAAGGTAAGAGACTGATTCCCCTTCAACAGTCTCCAACTGTCTATTGCCCCCATCTCTGTCCTTTTGGACGCCCTGCACCCTGCCTTGCAGGATGACAACAGCTGCAGAACCATGCTGGTGGAGTCGAGAAGGCTGCTTACAGTGTGGGGCTTGAGGCAGCATTTCTCAGTGGCAGTGGTGGCAATGGGATTGTAATAGAGGTCTGGGGGCAGCTGGACAAGACTGGTAAAGGACCCAGGCCTCAACTTCAGCCCCAACCCTACCACTGATGCCAAGGAGTGCCACTGTGCAAGGTGACCAAAAAGGTATAGATGTGAAGATAAGCAGGTGGGGAAAGTTGTAGCACTTCTGCGGTTATAAGTGTGGACAGGTTGCCAAGTGGCTGAATGTTGATCATCTGAACAATGGAGTGCTGCAAAGTCATAGTTTCAGGGACCAATCATAAATCTCTTTGTTCAGAGTCACCATACTTTTGAATGGTCATAAACCAAGGATTATCTGTAGTGATTTCCATTTCTACACATTGGAAATCACCTCATTTGATCTGATCTGGGTACTCTTGAGTAACAATATTTATAGAATCATAGGGCTGGAAGGGATGTTGGGAGATCTTCAACTTCAACCCATTGCAGGAAATCTTATATCATCCTAAATAAATGGCTGTTCAATCTTTTCTTGAAGACTTCCAGGGATGGTGCACCCACTCTGGGAGACAAGATGTTCCATTGGTTAATTGTTCTGTGAGGATGTTTCTCCTTAGTCACAGATTGGATCTCTCTTTAACAAGCTTCCATCCGTTGCTTCTTGTTCTACCCTCAGGTACTTTGGAGAATAAGTCAACCCACACTTCTCTGTGACAGTTCCTCATATACAGGAAAATAGCTGTCCTGTCACCCCTAATTCTTCTCTTCACTAGGCTGGACATACCTAATTGTCTTAACCATTCCTTGTACAATTTATCCTGCAGATCCCCTATTATCATAGTTGCTCTTCTTTGCATTCTTTTTAAGGTCTCAGCATCTTTTTTTATAGTATGGTGACCAGAACTGGACACAGTATTCCAAGTGTGGCTATACTAGTACAGCATAGAGAAATACTATCATGTCTCGTGATCTTCATGCTTTTCCTCTGTTGATGCAGCCTGGGACTGCATTTGCTTTTTTGGTAGCCGTAGAACACTGCTGATTCATACTAAAGTGTGGTCCACTAGGATACCTCATTTCTAGGTGTAGGTATTTCTAGGTACATTACTCAGTAGGATATTCCCATGTAGCTTTCTAGTTCTGAGGCAGCAACTGTTTTTCTGTGATGGCTCGAGAAATTAGTTATCATCCATTGGAGGGAATAGTCAACCAAAGGAACTCTCAATTGCTACACATTGTTTCTTCCACAAACACACATATCAGAGAAAAGTCCCTTCCCTTCCATCTGCAAGAAGGTACCTTAAGGATTGGAATAAAGAATAGTAAATCCCTCAACAAGGGGATCTCCTTTGAAAAAAGCAGATTAAATTTGGCTACCTGAGGATTTACTCAGCTTTCTTGGTCATATTTTCCAAATATTAAACAGAGAAGACTAACATTTTCTACTAAATTCTAACACAACTTACCTATGAGAAAGACTTTTTTCCTCCCAAAATGATCTGATAGTTGTCCAAAAGTAATTACTCCAACAAACACACCACCAAAGAAACATGAACTAGCAACACTGATCTTATATGAAGTATTGCCAATTAAAAACCACTATGGATAGAAAAGAGAATGTTAGGCAGAATCTAATGGAACTTAACAGAAGTACTATATCTTTCAACAAGAGGAAAACTAAACCATATTCAAAACTAATCTTCCATCTTTCATTTTTCAGATATTCTATTTGGCAGATGGGTATCTAAAAACAATAGAAAAGAGCAGGTTGACATTCCTGATGCAAACTGAAAAGGATCTGAATTTGTTTATCACATCAAGTTTCATTCAATATCCTCACTTGCATTCTTATGCTCAACCACAGAGCCATTAAGACAGCAAATATTCTTTTAAACACTGACCTTCAAACTCTAGAGTCAGATTCAAATGAAGCTCCAGGGCTGGGGAAAATCCTAAAGGTTCTTCTTAAGGTTTCAGAAAGAATGCTTAATACATGTTTAGAATTGTATTGGCTATCAGATCCCCTGGAAAATAAACTAACCACTGCCATTACTACAACTGTTGGAATTGCAGGCAGGGCTATCTAGAATATGGCTACACAACACCTAACACAAATTGATTTCCAAAGAGATCTGAGTAGAGTTGGAGACTGACAAGAACAGTAATGCCAACCATTCCACTCAAACTGTCTTTTCCTCCCCCCCCCCTTTGCTAAGGCCAGGTTGTCAGCTCATGAAGCTTGGATAGGAGAGAGGCAGCCATGACAAGTAGTCACTGAAATAACTTAACTCTTTCATTCTTTCCAGAAAAAGAGATTGACAAAAAACATAATTGCCTTTTAGATTGAGGGTTAACTTTCCTAGATTTTAGGGCAGTCTTTTCAATTTTCTAGAGTTGACTATAAATAATCAGATAATCCAGGAAACTATCAAGTTAAATGAACAAACTCTCCATAAAAGAGAATAGGAGTTGATGTTTTTCAGTGAACAATGTTTACAGTTGCATTTATTTATGCTTTCCTTTACTTTCTATTTGTCAAGGCTTTTTCAAGCTAAATTCGTTCATCAAAAACTATTCATTTGCTATCGAACTACTTTTATGTACTTCTGCAAAATAACAATTCATCCTTGCTGATCAAAGCTGTTCAATAGAAATCTTGGAGTACTATGATTGTTATATCAATGAGGAGGGAATACTATTTCTGCTCTGATACCAAGAGACTGACATCCAACTTAATGGCTGACTTTTAGAGTGAATCTAGGACAACTCACTGCGGCCAGCTCACCACCACCAGATCGCTGCCAAGACACCGCAGGACAACTCCACACAGCTAACTTGCCATGGGGACAACTTGCTGTGGGTGGGTGAGCAAGAGAGTGCAGACTGGTGGTTGGGGGCATCCCACTTTCACATCTCCTCCTGCTGCTGCTGCTGCGCTGAGCTCCAGGCCAAAGAGGCCGAGGATGGCAGTGGTGGGCAGAGCAGGCTGTGGGGAGGCAATAGCCGGGGGCTTTCCATTTTCATACTGGCAGCAGACATAGGATATGTTGGAGATTCTACATTTGCAAGAGAATGTTCCTGACAGCTGTTATCTGGCTTGAACAATAATTAGTGAAACAGATGTTATAACTATAACAGAAGCAATATATATTTATTGGAAATGCATTACAGGGATAGGCAAAATCTAGTACCTAGCAACATCCTATCAGAAAGAGTGTCTAAGAGCATTCTGTGTTGGGGGTGGTGGTACAAAGGCAGAAGGAAATTATTTGAAACTAGCATCATTTAGATAGGCAGAACAGGCAGAGTTGTAAACAAAGAGGAGGCACAGAATAAATTTTTAAAAATGTATATCTTGCTGCTCCACTATGGTCAAATCATCAGAGCTAAGAGTCAGTGTCTTTGGTGTCACACCTTCAATGAGAGTTGGCAAGTGATCAAACAGAAAAAACAAACTGGAATCTGGCACTGGAGATCAAGGGGAGGCATTTTTTTCATATTTCTTATTTTCTTTCTTTCCTATTTTCTTTTGACTCAGACTATTACTCACCCAGAGAGGCAACTTCTGGGAGCTCATAACTATAGAATGCAAACAGGAAAGATCTGCATGGAAGTGTGCTTATAGAAGACAGCAAGGAAGGGTCAAAGTAACATGAATTAGGAAAACATCATGACCTTCAAAATGTGTATGATATTGGTCTTCCTGTCTGAGGAACACGCAAACAGCATTTAGTGCAAATGAATGTTTATTTTTTATTGGAAGAGAAAACAAAGGGATTTGAGAAAACAATTGCTACACTGAAATGCATCAAGGAAGGCATGACAACTGAAACTCTCCAGAAGGGACAGTGAAGACAATAGGAAAAGTTCTTTTTGGCTTAGACAATGTATGGCTAAGGATTTTCCTCTCCTCACTGGTGATGATGATTACTGGAAAATAAAGGCTTTTTCAGATGGTCCTTTCTTTCATCCTTCACTAAGTTTCTATCTATTAACAGCTCAGTCACTACTCTGGGACATTTTAGTTGCCTCTGAAACAAGGTTCATATTACTGTTTTTGTTTTTATTTTGTCCAAAAGCTTAACATTGCTGCTTATGATATCCAGGTTCTAATACTAAAGTTATAATATTCAGCCTTTCCACAGAAATTATTATGCTTCATACCTCAGAGGCTATTGAAGTAAAATTGCTGTTAAAATGTACATATTTATGAAGGTCACTCCAATTGGCTGTTAGAAGCCACTTTCTAAAGTTGTTTTCTTCAATAGTTGTGTCATTACTATGGCTATGATTAGCTAGTATTCCTTCAAGATCCCAGTGATAAGGTGGTATTGCTCCTACTAGTGCAATGAGGACCGCTTCACTGGCTACATAGAGCTGAAACAAGAAAAAACAGCATCAAGATCAGTGCCAGATAAACAGACAACATTCAAAGCATTCAGATATTGGAGACCCAGTTTGGTTTAGTGGTTAAGGCACCAGGCTTGAAAGGGGAAGACTATGAAAGCCAGCTGGGTGACTTTGGGCCAATCTCTCTCTCTCTCTCTCTCAGCCCAACCCCACCTCACAGGGTTGTTGTTGTGGGGAAATAGGAGGAGGATGGTGTGCTGGATATGTTCACTACCTTGAATTATCTATAAACATAATAAAGGCAGGATACAAGCAGCATGATGGCCTAGTGCTAAAGATGCTCACCTCCCACTTGGAAGGTTGAGAGTTCAAGCCTAGGTAGCGGCAGATGTTTCTCACTTAGGGTGCAAAGAAAAAATATCTGCTACAAACTTCACATGGCGTCAGGAAGAGCATCCGGCAAGTAAACGCTCAGCTCCATCCAATCATCCCGACTCTACCCGAAATTAAGGGATTGCAGGTTTGTAAAAAGTGAATTTTAATAAAGGCAGGATACTAACTAACTAAATGAATGAATAAATTCCACATAACAAATTGCTTAAAAGCCAAAAGAGTAACCTTTTTTTTTACCTCTTGGATTATACTGGACTTCAAATACTAGCAAATTGAATTCTTTGGACACTTGAGTTAGAACTTGTCCACACTAAGATATGACTGAGTTTTTGCCTGCCTATAAAATCGTTATAAAATCTGACCAAACAAGGAAGCCTCTCTTTAATCATAGCTTCTCAGCTTGAGTGAAATAGAAAAATCTGATAATTCAGACTTCTCGTCTACTTGAACTATAAAAAATATACAGTGAACTGATAGATGCAATGTATAGTTAAAAAGTCTTTATTCAATAAACACACGATGTTAACCAACAAATGACTCATATATTTTAATTAAACCATCTACATCTCAAACTTCCTTCAATTGATTTGTACACAAAATATGAATATTAATATTCTGTCATGTCCTTTGCCATTAGACAGATGCAGTCCAAACAGATGTTTCCAACTATTATATTTATATCTGATACTCAGATCAAACGATCCTCCTAGGACATCTTCCCTAACAAATTAGGTCTGATAAATTAAAAGAAAAATAGTAAGATATATACTTCTGGAATTCCATGGTCTTGTGGAAAACGAAAGAACTCTTACGAATTCC